CAAAATCGGTTTTCCAAAATGTCGATTTTGGTTTTTTGGTTTATCTCTAAAAGAAACGAACGTATATACATGAAATTTTCACTGGTTGTTTATATTTGCATTTTCTATACACGATGACATTTTCAAATATTTTGATTTATTTTGAACTGTTTAGGGACATTTTCATTTTCCATCTTTTTTTAGTTTTTTTTCTAAAAATATCAATAAAATTTTATTTGTTGGTTGCGAAAGCTTGAAAATTTAATAGAAGGCTCCTAGTATATTGTTTCAAAGGCAGATGAAAAATATTAAAAATCCTTAGTCACAATTTTTTTTTTATAAGCATTTAAAGTCCAAAAATTGACAAAATATGGAAAAATCTCGAAAATTAGCAAATTATTTTGAGTTAAGAATTCATAAAAATTTTTCTTTTTAAATCTAAGATTTGAAAATGTAATACAAAATTGCTTATAAGATTATCTACCTTTATCAAAAAAAAAAATGTCTATAAGAAATTCAAATTAAATTTTTATGAGGGTTTGAAATTCAAATTCTTACAACATTGGATATTCACTCGATTTCTCATGTAGCGATTTCCTTATTTTGTTGTAATTCAAAAACGAATAACTGTAGACACATGAAAATGTCACTGAATGTTTATATTAGCATTTTCTATACACTGTACAATTTTGAAAATATTGTGACTTTTTTTGAGCTGTTTACGGACATTTTCAATTTTCAATTTTTTTAGTTTTTTTTCTATAAATATCAATAAAGTTTTATGTGTTGGGCCATAAAGTGTAAAAATTTAATACAAGGCTCCTGATAGATTGTTACAATAGCAATTGAAAAATTTTAAAAATACATAGGCACAATTTTTTTTATAAGCATTTAAAGATTGAATTTTGACAACATTTATCAAAATCTCGAAAATGATCAATCATTGTAATTAATAAATTATAAAATGTTCAGTTTTCATAGCTAAGGATTGCAAATTTAAAACAAAGGTTCTCATAAATAGTTCATACTGTAACCAAAAAATCTAAAAAATATATGAACACAGTTATTTTTTACAGACATTTTAAATTCAAATTTGGACAAAATTAGATATTTAAACGCAGAAATACTACTTTGTTGTAATTTAAAAATATTATTCGTGGGACTTGAATCTTGATGTACCTATATTTTTATATTTAACTATACGCAATGACATTTCCAAAGTATTTAGATTATTTTCAAACTTTTTATACCGGATATATAACCGTTATATTACCAAATTATTTATAGTAAAAATAAATTACTAGCAATATATAAATATCAAAATAATATTTTCATCAATTCAATTTGTAACTTTGTTAAGTTAGTTGACATTTAAATTTAATATATTAATATTTTAGTGTTGGTCAGCGACATGAAAAGTAATTTAAATTAATTGAGTTATTAATTAACTATCAGTTACCGAATTCGACACACATAATATCATAACGTAAATATCAACAACAATTTATTAAAGTGAAACTTCTTTACAGAGGGTACAAAAAAAATAAACAACGATCGGGCACGGTCACGGACCAGCTGTGCATCGGTTAACCGGTAACATAGAAACGTAGTTTATTATTTTTGTAGTACCTATGTAATAACAACTAATTATATTAATTAGATTTTTTTATATAATATATAAATTCTGTGTTTCTATATTATCTATGTTATCTATGTTATCGGTATTATATTTGTGAATTATTATTACAACAAAAAAGATTGTCATTTTATTTAACTTAAAGTTTGGTCAATAGACTATTACGTTCTCAACCCTTGCCAGTGGTTTGTTTTATTTTAGTAGCCTTCAACTCTTCCCAGCAGTTTGCTGACGAAGCTTCTGGTACATGCATTACGAAAGAACCTAGTGGTCTCAAAGTCTCAAATAAAATAAAATCCTTAAAATTAAAATTGATTTTAAAATTGATCCTAGGGCAATCAAAGTTATATAATTCCAAAATTACTCCAGTCGGTGAATTTTGTGTTGCTGAGTGTTTAAGACAAAATGAACCAATCATCATCATTGTAGCAGTTTATATCAGTTTATATCTCACCAAATCAAAAAAAAAAAGATATAGTTTATTTTTTAAAAAGATCGTTGATTGCCTATTCTACCAAAGGTACACCATTACTCGGCAGGGGAGAAAATAAACTGCCTATGATTCTGAGTGGAGACTTTAATGTTAATTTTGCATCGGATGGATCAGAACCATTTACACAATTTTTTCGTGAACATCTCAATTTATCAATGAATAATGATCCAAAAATTCCAACAACGCGGTCAGGAACCACAATAGATGCTATTTTCACACGATATCTTAATAATGTACAATCAAAAACGTACATAACTTATTTCAGCTATCATAAGCCCATTGTGTCATTAGTTAAAAATAAATAATAATAAAAAAAAAAACAGTTCTATTAAATATAAAATCGTAAAGAGTATTATTTTTATTTTATTCCAATACCTCATATCAGTTGCATGACTGAAAGAAGTTTCACTTCATCCCCGCATACTTGTTACACGCTCGACTTTTTTTTAATTACAGCTATTACAAGAATTTATAATTACAAATGTGTATTACAATTTGAGATCTCACTGGTTAGATTTTTAATTATTTTAATTTTTGTTAATTTATCTACCTATATAGATTAACAATTTTATCGTTGATTCACCTGTCTATAATTTTGTAATAAATTGATAGTATTTAATAAATAACAATTACCTTGTAAATATACATAGACCAAAGTCCATGCTATATAATATAATATATCAATACCTACGTGGCTACGTCCTAATTTTGTAGTATCGCAGAAAGAGAAAAAACTATACGAATTTTAAATTAACATTTTATATTGATTTGTTTTATAAAAACTGTGAAAGTAAAATATAAATAGTCCTACTTTAAATCGATAATGTATACAAAAACTGAAAAAAAACCTCATAAATAAAAATACTAACATAAAAACCTCAATTAATTATTAAGAATATTATGAACAAAAACATATTTTTAATTAGATCATCTCCGAGATCCAACTAGATCCAACTATTAATCAAATAAATCGTTAAAGTGTTTTAAAAATATAAATACGAAATATACCTAACTAATAACTATATTGTACTAATGTAACTAAACTTTCATTGAATAACAATGATAAAAAATTACATCAATACAACTTATAACCAAAACGTCTCAATTTACTGTCTTTGAAAAACTATAAACTATTTCTTCGGTTAAAAGCTCATCGAGATTCGAGCTATAAACAACTTGTGATAATACTTTTTCACAGGCCGAAGATCGAGTTTATTATAATTTATATATGTATACTATGTATATATATATTAGCAGGGCCGGGTTGAGAACAAGTGCCACTATAGGCCCCGATATAATTGGCCGCTCATCCATCCTATCCTTTCCAACCATGAAAAAAGGCATGTTTGAATTATTTAATTAGTGTGTATTATTTCCAATATTATATGATGATAAGAAATAACAAGTGCCACAAAGGCTACAGAGCAGCAACAATGCTCACAATATGTATATTGTACATTTGTGTATCCACATCACGGTTATCTACGGTGTATATAACCGTGATCCATTTATAATATTATTAGTATACTGAATATGAATAAACATGTATAAAAAATATATAGGTACTCGAAAGGCCAAAACCGGAACATTATGTAATAATCGAATACGTGATCCACAAAAAAATTTAAAAAATAAAATAAATTTATTTTTTGTTTTGTACAACAAATTTGTGGCTCTTCAAATTGTGCCACCCTATACCTATCCTAAAATCCGATACTGAACATCAGTATAGTAAAAGTTCTGAGTAATAATTTACATTATATAGTATACCTACACTATAGGTATGTCTACTGAGTAAAAAAACCAACACATAGGTACCTATGTGTCCATATTATAAAGACCAAGGTAACCATTTCACAAAAATGGTTTTATCCGACTTTCTCAAAGTTTTTTTTAATGTAGACCCTAAAAATGATTGTATTTTTTTCCTTAAAAACTAACAACGGTTATTAATCAACTAATTAATTTAGTGTAATCAATTTGTATAAAATTCAATATTACAAATATAAATTAAAACAAGTTAACTAGACAATAAATTATTATCTAGTCTTTTTGTTGTTATACCTACTGTAACGGGCTGTGACGTATATATTAATAATAGTAAAAATATATTATATTCAATAATAGATATAAATGCTGCAGGGGGCACGTAACCCGATAATAGTAATAATATAAGCGTCCGGGCGGTCACATCGATAAGAACTAATTAATGGTACTGCTCGAACACGTGATAGGTATACGCGCGCAATATCCATATTCTAGGAAAGACGAAAAAGCCATAAACAGTACAAATAGATAACTTTGGAAACATATAATCCGTAATTAACATTATTTCATAGAGGACGCCCGAAGCCCTGAAATGACCTCAGGTGTATGCGGCTATGTAAAATTTTTATACTAAAAATGCCATAGGAGGGAGCTATTAGAAATAACCGACGAAATATGCGATGGACAAGGGTCCAGCAGACGAATACCAGCCGAGACGACGAGCACCAGCAGAGCAGCCACCAAGTCGATACTAAGTCACATCTCGTTCACCACATATTTATAATTTATTTATTTGGACTTAGACTATTTTTACGTGTTAAATAAATACAACTGAACTATCATTATAAAATCTTGTATTTTAATTCAAAATACCATCAGAACTGAGTTGAAGTGGTTGGCACGTTACACTACATTACTCAAGGTATTTTTATAATGAAACCAACATTTGCATGAACTCGGAAATTAAAATGAAAACAACATTGGTACATTATGAAAAAGTGTTTACCTACTTTGTAATTTGTTGCTTTTTTGTATAATTTATATTTACTGTAATCTAAAATTGCATGGAATATTATAATTTATATGATTGGTTATTTTCAGAAAAACGCACATTGCTCAAGGGACATGTTTCTCAGCAGAAGTTTTAAATTTTGGCATAACTGGAAGAGTTTATCAGTGAATCAATTTCTATTCCTAATCATCATAGTATGTATACATAATATTTTTTTAAATACTAACTAAACATCATTTTAGTATATAAAGCTCACACCTTTAAGTAACATGCAACTAGGTAGGGCAACTATTATGTTGTGCTGCATAAGAAGTAGTATTTATAAAGGTGCTTATTATATTGATATAACATTATATACCTTAACCTGCTGGCTGCTACTGCACTTATATTTATCCACTGTTGTACCAAAATTACAATATAATTAATAATTCCGACACTTACTACTACATATTACTCGATCGGACGATAATACCGTGTTTAATAAATTGTCCCTAAGTTGTATTATAATTTATATTCAATATTGCATTACAATCTAGACATCTAGTACAAAGTGCAACTATTATACTGTGTTGCGTGATAGTACCTACAAAAATGCTTATTACATTGATATAGGTAGGTAGTAGGTACAATTATATTATATAGTATAAACCTGAACCTACCCCGATTAGGTAATTTATCCGCAAATAAAAATAACAATATAATTAATAATATCTACAGTCGATAAAACATATTACTGGGTCAGACGATAATATCGTATAGCATAATAAATATAATATATATATTATATTATATATTACATTATAGGTATACATTACACCATGTACGATATTACCCATAAGTTACATTATATTTAATATTGCAGTTTCAGATGCACGAGGTTCACGGAGAGACTGATTTGTTGGGAACTACAACCACAAACGGAACTATGTGTAAGGAGCGATGGACGTGCTCGTCGTGTACAGAAGCAACGATGCCACTGTGTAGCTGGTTGGTTTCCGAACAAATGTGCGTGGAAAATACGGCGGTGAAAGTACAAAACCGGATGGTGGTCACCAACGGGTCGTCCTGTCCAAAGTTTTCGGTCAACAATATTGTCAAACTATTGGATGGCAAACAGAGTATAACGGCTACAGTTATAGTTGAAGACTCGGATATGGATGGTGGTTTTGTCCATTTGTTAGCCAACAGCAGCGTCGAGTGTCACTCGGGCAATAAGACCTACAAGGCCAAGGTAGACGGCAACCGAATCTCCTGTTCCTGGGAATTGGAGCGAACATCGTCGTACAAAACCAGGTGCCAGGAGTTAATACCGCACTTCAGTCATTTATCGATAGTATTCGATGGCAAGTTGTTGCGATTCGACAACGTCAGCAACCACTATTTGACCACGTACCCGGGGGGTGGTGATTGTCCAAAAATGGAGTGCCCGTATTGTCACTGGAACAACGGCACGCACAGGTTTTATTGTAGTATGTGTTCAATGAAGAACACCAAGGACATAATACCATACTGTGACTTACGAAATATTTCGAGTCTCTTGTATTTGAGTACCACCAATGACATCCGAAATAATGAAAGGTGTTCTAGCAAAGGTCCAAGTGTAATTAATTATTCTGTAACTCCGAAAATTATACTTCCATCACACCAGCCGCCCTCGTCCGACAGCAGTCAATCGGGCAACAATAGTTCTCCGGTCCATCCGACATTAGACGACGGCCAAGTGTTTGGCGGTATCGAGTCCGGTAACACCACTTTTTGGGTGCATGGTCAACATTTTTCCGACTTGCGGAAAGTGAGGTGTTGTGTCAAACATAGATACTGGTGCGGCAACTGTGATGTCCGTAACGACACACATATGGTTTGCCGAACTCCTAACATCAAAATCGATCTGAAATATGCATCTAAAAATGAATATTTGATGTTTTTCGCTGAAAACTCTATCGGAAAAGTGTATAACTTCACGTTACCGGGTTGAATGTACCATCGATATCACGATCCGGATTTTACGGACTTCGTGGTTGTCGGTTGCTGCAACGTTACCGTAAATGCCACCAAGGACTATGACCTATTGCATTTACATGGTCGCCAGCATCTCGCAGAAATGCGACCGCTGGACGAACAAAATCCCAATGACTACGAAGACAATGGCCAACCTGAAAATATGTTGTTGGTTCGTGACGAATATCATTAGTTTCGTGTTCAGATATAATGTATTATACGACGATTAATTTATTAATTACCTATTATATTGTATAATATGATATTATTATATTCCATACCTAAGAATTTTTAAACATCTTGTTCTTTTATAAATCTATGGGTATTACGTACATAGGTACACATAATTATGTAATAAACGTTTATATTGTGTAATAATATTTTATAACATTAAGTTTATAATTTGCGGTTGCATTTGGTCAATGATTTCAACTTGTTAAAATGTCAACTATGTGTATAATAAAAAATCTGGTATTATATTTATAGTGTATAGAAAATTATATAAGCTATACCTACATATCGCACAATGTAAAATGTTTTTATTATATTATTATGTATAATTAAATTATACAAAACCTGCACAACTGCTGTACAATAGGTTACAAGTGGGTAACTATTCTAAGTTGTCGAAGCTGCACCAGGAACAAAAAAATAAAACAAAATATATTTATTACTTGTTTTTTTAAGGAAAATTATCCAAGTAATTTTTTCTCTCTTTATTTTGTTTATATGGTTATGTGCCATTTTTTTGGGGCCAGAGTGGCGCAGTGGTCACGCAGTTGACTACGACTCACACAGTCATCGGTTCGATTCATAGCTCAGTGCAAAATAAATTTGTGTGGTTCTACGCGATCACCATTTCCCCCTGCTGTCGTCCGATTGGTCATTCCGTCATCTGGTTTCCAACTAGGTCCCACTCCACTGGGAGTGAAGACCGCACATGCCTCCTCTTGCAGGAGAAGGGGGGTAGTATCATGCATATAGTGATATATACATAGATAAATAGATCACATGATCTCCCTACTACCCACTTGTGATAAGCATTGACGAAGACCTAGAGGTCGTTTCAATGAACAAATAATAAAAAAAAAAAAAAAATGTGCCATTTTTTTAGTACCTACCTATAACAATGTACCAAATATTGTTCTATTTTGCCTGTTTAATTTTTACTATGTAATGTTTATAGAAAAAAAAAAGAACTAATAAAACAAATTAAGATCAAGTACCTATATAGTATATATAGTAACCATATTTTAAATCAAAATATTACGCATAATGGTGTTTAATAACGTTTAATATAATATTGCATTTACAAAATATATGTAGATTATATAGACAAAAGGTAAAAAAAAAAATCAATCTTAACAAATAATAATAAGCAATCTGTGGAGTTAACAGCTACATAAATAGGTAATTATGGGCCTATAATTTCATACTGTTTCCAATAGGTTACCTAATCAATAATAATATGCTATAGAATATTATGTTAATTATTAACCATCTACAATATATTGCACTGTTTAATATCAAACATGCAAAAAATATTACTAAAATATGAAAGTACAATAAACAAATAATGTGGTGTATTTAATTGGTAGTTAAACTATAACATTTTTAAGAAGAAATTCGGCACAAAATAAAACTTTCAGTCTTGTTTGACGAGGGTACGACACACCTTGTTAACTACTATAATTGCAGTGTAACAAAAAGATAAAGAATTTGTTTATCACATCAAACATTATTGTACGAGAATTGTCTTGCATAAACAAAATAAATATACAGGACTAGGCGAATAGTTTTAGTAATATTAAGCTGTACAAAAATATCTAAATAATTATGTGTTAAACAAAATGTGTGTAATATATACACAATCAATAAGTTCATGTTTTAAATTAAATTAAACTGTTATCAAATTTTCCATTAAGTCATTGACCATTTTTACTTTTTAGCCAAAAATCACATCATTTAATAATTTTATTATTTGAATTATAAATTGAGTTTCGAGCAATTTTCATTCATATATGATATATTGATGACACTCAAATTTAGTATTTACATTTTACAAGTTTTAGCAGACAAAATATGTTGATATAACAATCAAGACCGTTTTATACGTGGACATAATATTATTACATGAATCATGATGCTAAAGAATTTAAATTAGACTAGATACATTGTTTCAGTAACAATAGACAACAATAAGTAAAGGACACAGTTTATAAGACTTATAGATACAAATATCTTTCAGATAAATTAGAAAAAAAAAACCATAATTTAAAATAAATTTATTTTAATAAGATTATTTGATTTTTCAATCTAATTGATTGTGTACAAATATCACGATAACCATGTAATAAGGTAAATTTGTAATATTTTATAAAAAAGAAACTCAAAACAAAGAATAAATATACTAAAAATAATTATCAATTATTATCAATCTTTTTAATTTTAAAATTACCGCAGTGTTATTGAATAGAGAGTGAAGATGTTAACTGTAGAAAAAATGTCAGCTTAACTATTTTACTTGCAGAGTCAAATAAATTATAAGTTACCGTGTTACAATTGTATTTGGATGTTATTGTTTATTATTTACTATGTACAATAAATTAATATACGATTTTTGTTATACACAATGACATTTTTTATGCATTACTCTATTTACATTTTACCATACACAGCCTTTTGAACCCTAGATAATGGGACGATAACTAAACTCATTATGGCACCTATGTTTGTTTTTGTACCATAATACGAATTAGTTGAAGTTGAATTTGAATGTAAAAGGGCTCCCGTGGAATTGATGAAATTGTTGAAATGGGTTGAAACCGTCTTGGTGATGACGCCCTGATTCTGGATCTAGTGGATCAATACCTCGGTCAAATTGTTCCCGTTTTTCTAATTATACACAAAACAAAATGTATTAATAGTTATAACTTATTTTATACTTTAAAAAAAATATAATTATACACGACTATTATTGTAAGTTTCATTCATTACCTGGATTAGTCAGAACTTCTTTGGCAGAAGCTATTTCAATGAACCTTTTCTCTGCATTCTTTTTAGCTTCACCTTGGAAATTATCTGGATGCCATTGTTGAGCAGCTTTTCTGAAAAAATATATCATATTTTAATAAAAATTACTGTTGTTAAATAGAAAATATTCAATAATAATCTTACCTATATGCTTTAATTATTTCTTGTTTGGTGGCAGTTCTTTTTACATTTAATATCTTATAATAATCTTTTCTTTCAGCTTGTTTTTGTAAATTTTTTGCTTTTTTTAGTCCTTCAGTTGCTTGTCGATGCTCCTGATCGATATGAAGTGCATGCTCAAAATCTCTAATAGCTAAAAATAAAATATAACTTTGAACTATGTAATGTTAGTAAATAATACATATATTTATCATTTAGAACAGTACAGCTTTGGAGGACGCTACATACGCATGTCTACATGACTACATGTATAGTCTCCATCCTTTACCTTGTAAATTTGTATTCAGAAGAATTAATTTTGTGCTGCTAGTTTCAATACTATAGTAAGTTATAACTCATAACTAGGGCGAGGATTTCAATGCAAAATGCAGTTGTTTTTTTTTTGGTTTATCTTAGACAAGGCTTTCCAACTATGTACACAATTTGTTTCATATAACGAGTGCTTAAAAGCTATACATTTTAATTTGCAATTTTTTGCATATTTTGATGTTTTTTTATTTTTAGAGCAATTTTAGCATTATTGGGTCATTTTTGTTAGTTATAAATTTATAATGCATATTTGTTCAATATGTCACCCATACTCAGATAAATAACAAATAATTAGTGAGTTTGTGTTACATGATTTACATCACCGTCGTATTTCATATGTTTTT